AAGCAGCCAGAGTGGGGGAGATATGCTGATATTTCCTCACCCCACTAAGAAGCCTGGTTGCCGCATTCTGCACCATTTGAAGTTTCCGCATCAATCTCAAAGGCAGCCCCACATAGAGTGGGTTACAATGGTCTAATCTCGAGATTACGAGCACATGGACAAGAATAGTGAGGGCCCCCCCATCAAGATATGGTCGCAGCTGGGCAATCCGCCATAGATGAAAATAGGTGGAGTGGGCCACGGACGCATATGTCCAGGTAACTGACCTTATGTATAGTATACTGGACTATAGACTCCAGCTACAAAACAATGATCTGGTGCATTTCAATGTAGATACATTGTTTGGTTTCCTTTTTAAAACAGCATGAGCTAGAATTTTATTCAGATTTTACACTGCAGTAAGAAAAGTCACATAAGTCACAGGGGTTGGAATGCAGTGCAAAATTTTGATAATGGATGCTAAAGTTGCTTCTTTCTTTGTGACAACCCTAGAGGAAACAGGAAGGGTGCAAAATCGAATATGGAGTGCAGTTCATTCCTTTTATAATAAACTGTAGCTTAGCATGAAGTTCAAGTACAGCCGAACAATGAAACAGCAATAGGAAGAAAGGCAGAAAGCAACTAAAAATTGTTGTAGCCATATTATTTAGGGAAAAGGAATAAGAAGAAATGTATGCCTATACAGTACTGTAGACACTTTAATACTCATTTAGTACACTTCCGCTGACACCACCACTTTGAGGTAACTCCGCACAGCAGTCATTATAGTTTTCTATCCTTGTGATTGTGAAGGCACAACCAAAAGTTTGCATACTAAAAAAAGGTTCCACTTTCCGAGTTATTACCAGCCCAGATTCTCTAGGACTGAACCGGGGAAAAGAACAAATATACATTTATTTTTATATTTATCTGGGCTAGATTTGTTTTATATGAGCCAACAGCATGCTTAAGAATTGGGAACTGAAAAAATGGCAAATAAGGGAACAATTCCAAAATTGCACAATGCCTTCTGATCTCTCTCTATTTATCTCTCTCTCTCTCTCTCTCTCTCTCTCTCTCTCTCACACACACACACACACACACACACACACACACACACCGCCCCCTGACAGAATTCAAAGGAAGTATTTTTAGAACTAGAGCCTCAACTTTCTCTGTAGCTGGTGTTTATGCTTCAGTTTCACTAAGTTATAAAGCAAGCTAAATATCTAGTAAAATATTTATGTACACTGACATTTACAGCAAATTACAGAACCCTTACCAACAAGAAAGTGTATTTACTGAGCAACTTTTCTTCACACTCCCCTACTGAAGTGCCTTCAGCACTGCTAAGGAAACCACATCTAGAAAAAGATGTTGGTTATTGTTGCATTGTTCAAATATGATAAAATCTATAATAAACAATACAAGCAGAAAAAAGGGGGAAGTAATTTCATCTCTTTTACTAGCTGCTGCAAAAGTATGTAACTTTAAAAGTTCACATGGATCTCGTCTTACTTCTTATATTTCTCTCACCATTTGATTTGGTGGGGAGAACCCAAATAATTTTTTTGAGGTGAAGGAGATGTAACACAGCCATCTGTACTGCAGATGATAAAACTGTGCTGCCAATGCATTTCATAATGACTGAAGAGGCTAAGCTTATAAGTTAATTATAATGGCTAAAATCCTGTTGCTTAGTGAAATAGGATGCAGCAGTGTAGGCCCACTGAATCAGTGGGGATTTGGTAGGTCATCTGCTCTGTACATTCCATTTATTCAAATAGGTCTACTCTAGTTTTGACTTATTATGCGTAAGTTAGAAAGAACTTGCCTTGGGTACTTTTAAAGAGAAAAGCAGGGCAAAAATATTTAAAATAAATAAATACCTGTTGCAATCAATGGAACTTTTGGTAGAGTTGACACATCTAATCCCCAATCATTCAATGGACCTAAACCACTATAACTTTACTAAGCAATAGGATTTCAACCAACATAACACATAATTTGTGAGGTTGCTGCAGGAAGAAACCACTCCACTTACACCACTGATGAAAAGGGAGAGTACACTGCCAGACTACTTTGCTTTTTGGTCAAGCCTAAAATTGTACAAAAACTCCATCACAAATCTTCACAAGTGATGTATCTCTCTTCTAGCAATTGTTTAGACTTATCTTTGGAAATCAACACCAACTCTTACAAAATAACCTTGGCAATAATATTCAGGAGTTCTTTGGGCAACAATAGCATCAATACCCAATAATTTCCTGTACAAGTAAGGGTTTACCCATATGGCCCAATGATTTTTATTGGCCCAGTATGAAAATCAATGGAAAAGTGTATTAACTTGGAAGCTCCACAGCTATCCCAAACCACATACAAACCTTTCTGTCTGGACAGTGAGACATAATCATACTTTTCATCCATGTGTGTGTGTCATACATCCTGGCATTCAAAGTGACATCCGAAGAAAACCAAAAATAAAAAACAAAAAACCCCAAACTAGATTCTGTATCAAGAATCTGTACATCTGCTGTTTCACTTATGGTATCCTTCAACAAACTACCCCCACACCACCATTCAAAGAGACAGCATTGGGAAATACAGGAGACAATCAAGTTAAACTGCAGAAGCTAAATGCAATTGTTAATATTTGACCTGCGTTTCAGTCAGACACATATCATGACTTACTATCTAAGATTAAAAGCTGCACTGGTTTACCTTGCTTTCTTCCCAGCACATCACCCGAAAACAAGCTACACTACTGCATCAATTTCATATGCAAAGAAATCAGTATTTTATTAAAGTGAATAAAGGGCTGAAATTAACAACGTTCTGCTCGCTGGACTCTATTGGCTTCTTCAGCTAGATAGGTAGTATTTTAAATTTCTAACTCTCTCAAGCTATCTTGTGTAGGTTCTTCTGGTGTTTTATAACTTACCTGTCTACTATTATCAGCTTGGGAAATTACGGCTTGTTAGAACTAACATTTTCTCTGTTTATTTCCTTATCTCTAGCAATAAATGTGTCTGCCATAGCATTTCTACATTTTTTGGTTGTTATTTAAACATTGTGCTCTGATCTGAGAGGATTATAGCTAAACTTATTTTACCTCAGATTTCTTCTTATTAACTTGCACCAAAGTTATTGGGAAAGAGTACACAAACCCTTTGGGGGAAATTATGGTAATTGGCGTGAACAAATATTAGAAATGTTTACAATACTCTTGTTATATCTTAATATTTTGCAGTCATCCTCTTTAACTCAGTAGGTTGTTGTTGTTGTTTAGTTGTTAAGTCGTGTCCTACTCTTCTTGACCCCATGGACCAGAGCACGCTAGGCCATCCTGTCTTCCACTGTCTCCTGGAGTTGGGTCAAACTCAGTAGGTAGTTACGGTTATTTTATAAAGTAGGAGTAACTAGGTTTACTTTTCTTTATTCCTGAATTTACATACTGCCTTTCCTCCTTTTATAAGACATTCATCCAATTTATCTCCTTACAGGATACAGAACATCAGTGGGATGAGCCCTCTCTTCAAAATGCATCTCGGATTCTTTCTTCCTGTGCTACCATGCTCCTTCATCCCACACGCCATTTCTTCAAACTACTACACAAAACAGAATGGGCTTTCTTCCTGTGCTACCATGCTCCTTCATGCCACACACCATTTCTTCAAACTACTACACAAAACATAATGGGCTTTGTATTCTCAAAGATTTTCATGGCGGGGATCCGATGGTTGTTGTAGGTTTTTCAGGCTGTTTGACTGTGTTCTGGAGGTTTTTCTTCCTAACGTTTCGCCAGTCTCTGTGGCCGGCATCTTCAGAGGACACAGACAGAGTTCTAAGTCCTGTCCTCTGAAGATGCCAGCCACAGAGACTGGCAAAACATTAGAAAGAAAAACCTGTATAACATGGCCAAACAGCCCTCAAAATCTACAACCACCACCAGAATAGGCTTTCTGCTAAATCTGAGCCTTGTATGGAGACATCGAACTTCAGTTCACGATCCCTTTTTTCTATTGTATATGTACCATCAGAATAGAAGCCATATTTCACAATGCGGAAGACTGAAACTTGATGCCATTTATCCCAGGGTACCACAATGAACTCTAATATTATAAATAGTCTGCTGTAAACCACTAGTCCCTGTTTTTTCTCCACTGTTATTCGAAACCTCTCCTGAGGGAAATTTTCCCTGACTACAATTACCTACATCTAAAGTTTGATCAAGGCTTGGGAGCGAAGGAAGTCTAAATCTAGTCCTTCTGAGTTTCCCAACTATGCACAAACCCTTCCTCAAGATTACTTTGTTTGGTAGTTTCTCAGATTCTATGTAGGTTTTTCCCCATTTAATAGTCAAAATGCAACTTCTAAGATTCCATTACGAGCAGGAAGATCTTTAGATAAAATAGGCTTGCACTCTGCTTACGTTTAGCTCCACCCAGCAAAGGAATGCAGCCCCAGAAAATTTCTCTGAAACAAAATGGAATCCTTGGGCTGAAAAAGGCTCCCCAGCCTTGCTTACATGGAGATAAATCTGCTTTGTAGCAATCAATCTACTTGTGAGTTATAAAATACCATTAATAAACAACTCCTGCTATAATTCATCATTTTATGATGAAGGCACGATACACTTCATACATTAGAGAAATAACATTATCTTTGACCAAAAAATGTAGAAAAAATAGTAAAGGGTCAGTCCAGACCAATCCAATAAGACAAGACAGACATGTCTAAGTTTTATTGATGTAAATGGATGTACCCCAAGAATGATTAAAACTGCATAAACCTTGCTTATTTTCCTATCTCAAAAATAGACTCGGGTAGCATTTGTTAAAATGGAACATTTTTAACATGTGGACAAAAGAGCTAGATTATCTTCTTTTTTTGCAGAGTAAATTTTAGCTAACGTTTTGATTCTAAATGCCAGGATTTTAAAAACTAAGAAACCACATTTAGTTTCTTCCATTTTTTCTTGAAGCACAAAATATTTCATGTATACTTTCAATAATACTTACTTCCAAAAGATAAGGTTCCATTTCATCCAGTGTTTTTCCTAGATGTTTATCTGGATCTAAACCTGCCAAGAGATGTTAAAATATATTTGAGAGAACAAAGTAATGCTTGGGCGTCAGAGATTACTTTTTTTTAAAAAACCGTCTCCTTTGGAAAACAGTTCCTGTATATCAAAAAATAATGTTGAGGCAAACATAGACGTCCTTAGCCAGAACTCACTCTCTTATTCCCTTTGAACAACTGATTTCCATCCTTGGGAAAAAATAAGTTCATTTCCTTTGCCTTGTACAACAACTGAAAAACACATTGTTTCATTGCCTGCTTTCCATTCAGAAAAAAAATCATCAAATAGAAAAGGAAAACGGACTGTGCCATTATGATAATGGAGAGAGTCCATCAGATTTGACAACCCTATAAACCTCATTAAAAATGAAAACTCGCAGGACCCTTTCATTTTACCTTATGTCAAGTGGTGGGACTGATTTCAGAATGGTAAATTTCATCAAAATATGCAGCTGGACCACTGATCTGTATAAGACTACTATGACTTACTGTAACAAACAGTTCTACGAGTTATTTGATAAAAGTTCTTTCCAGCACATGTGTGCCCTAGGTCTTTCCCTATGATTACATTAGATGTGATATGACATGTATGCATACTATTAGCCTAGCTTCAAAAGCAAAACAGGCGAGGAGTCTTAATTCTTTTGCTGCTGGAAAAAGGGAACCTGCAGCTATCCATATGTTGCTGGATTACAATTCCCATCATCCCCGATGAGGATTTGGGCCATGCTGCCTAGGGATGAAGTTGAGGGGTCAACAAAAGCAAGGCTTTAACAGATTGACTCCCCTCCAACATACATGACTTTACTCTAAGTTCATTTTTGTTAAGAGTCAAACATCTGCCTCCTCTTCTACCACCATCAGTCAGACAACAAACACAAGAACTTCCTCCCTGGATCTGATCAAGCATCTGGCCCACCGTTTTCTCTTCCCCTTATCCCAACTCCACTATGCCTCTTACAATCATGACAGCAACGCAAAAATCTTCCTTGTTGTTTGTCTCTAGCATATCACAAAGAGTGGCATTCTGCATCTGAAAATAAGAGACTCTTTTTTTCAGGTGTTAATTTCATTGAATTCTAATTGAGTGGAAGGGATACAAAGCTTCTAAACCCACCTTCCATATTTTATAACCTTTTGTCACTTTCTCCCATAGTCATGTTGCCTAATTGGTTTCGGCCTTCCTACTAAGGAAAATGTTCCAGATCAGGAATGGGAAAAAAGCAACAGTTTTTGCTAGTGGTACTACTGGGGGTGGGGGGAGACTTTCCTATTCATTGTTTTGTTCAAAGGAGTGAATAAGGCAATTCTAAAAATGGGGACAGTCCAAACAAAAAACTTTAAAACTGGGCTTCGGGTCACTACCAAATCTGCCACATATATAGCAGACAGGCTATTCTTGCTTTGTTTCATATTTGGGAAAGTCTGGGCAAAATCTTGCTTATCTTGAAAGAGAACCACTGTTCCCACTGGCTTTTTTTTTTTTAATTTGGAAAGAATCCAGGCTACAAGGACTGAAATGTTGATTGACAAAAAAGACATTTTAAATAAGAAAAAAAAATGTTGCTGCAAGACTGGGGAAACATGGAACAGGTTTACCATTATGTGCCTTGCAAGATGATACATGGTCTCAGCTTCATAGGCTGGGAGAGAGATGTTTGGCGGACAATGAAAGGTCACTGAAACAGTCGAAATATAGCTTTTCTTTGAAAAGTTGTAAAAAAAATACTTTCTTTAAAGAAAATAATGGAGTGACAGTCCTCCAGAAAGGGATATTTTGTCATGTATCTCCAGGGAATGATCATATAAAGTTCTAAGGCATATTCAAAGCAATTTTGCATTACAAAAGCACAGAGGAGTTAAAAAAAATACTTTCTTTAAAGAAAATAATGGAGTGACAGTCCTCCAGAAAGGGATATTTTTGTCATGTATCTCCAGGGAATGATCATATAAAGTTCTAAGGCATGTTCAAAGCAATTCTGCGTTACAAAAGCACAGAGAAGTTGTTTGTTTCAGTCCTTATTGCTTTTAATATTCTCTCAGATTTTCTAAGATCAGGCTCTTGACACAGGTTTTCAAAGGGGAGATCAGCTCCAGGTCTGGGACAATCAAAATGTTTAACCCTATCACTCACGACTCTCAACTTTTTAATGCTTTAGGTCCAAACAGACATTTGTACTGGCAAAAGGATTCTGTGTCTGGTTGTAAATTTTTTTTTAAAATACAGTACTTTTAAAAATAGAAAACAAATATTCAGAATCTCACTAGTTTAAACTGTGGAATTACTGTTTTTTGCATTGTGGTCTTATTTGATGCTTATACTATGCCATTGTTTCAACCATTCCACCCGTCTTCCACAACTCTACAATTGTCTGGTTAAGAAAAGAACTCCAAAGATATTATGTTCCTTCAAATAATTTCTGATGTGTGCTTACTATATGAGTTAACGACCTCACAAATGTCATATCATTAACAGCTCTGCTCATATCTTGCAAACCAACAATATCAAATATTAGGATGTTCCCTATTTCTATTGTCCCCTCCTTCTTAGCAATAATGTGTTTTCCAGTTAGTTCTGCTCAGGTTTTGCAAATTAATAGCTCTGGTTTCCTTTATTGAGAAAATCTGCCTTATATTAGGACTTTCACTCTTCCTACTTTCCCCATCAACCTTCTCCAGCAATATTTTCCTTTCTGGTCTGTTCTCTATTTTTATTATGTATGTCTGTTAGGAAAGCTTTAGTTTACTCCTTTTTGCTCTAGGGAGAATTCAGGCTTGATTCGATTGATTCTATTTTTCTTGCCATGTCTGCGGCCAGAAAGGCTGTCCCCCCAACACCACATTTCAAAGGACTTGATTTTTATCCCTGTGTTTCCTCACTTTCTTTCACATAGTATGGATTATTTGGACCTTGGTTTCTGGACCTTGGTTTCTGGTGACAAACTCTCTCTCTCTCTCTCTTTTTTTTTAAAATTCAATTCATGAGGGGACATCTTTTAGAAAACATGCACAGAAGTTTTTGGTCCAATTTAGCTTTTCTTCCTCAGGTTGCCTAGTGTAAGGAAATGGTTTGGAAACTGGAGCACAGCTTTACCGTCTACATTCTGTGGAGCAGATATGGCAATATTAGTTTACCTGAGAGGTTTAATGGTTTTGATGGTTCTCCAGTGCATATACTGTACTTATTCATAATATTAGTTTACCTGAGAGGTTTAATGGTGTTGATGTTTCTCCACTGTGTATACTGTACTTATTTTGCTTCACTATTTCATTAAGTCCAAAAACTGATCTTCTAAATATTTTGGCACAGAAGGTCTAGAGTAACATCCAAACTGTTCTTGATTCCGCTGCCTCCCAGCAACCATAGTAGAGAACATGTGATCATCTGGGATTGTCTAGCACTGGGTAATTTTACGCGAAAGAAGTTTATGTTGGATTTTGTGTGTAACATATGTTTATTTAAACTTCCATTTTAAAAAAGCCAATACATTCTTCAAAAAACCTCTGATTGATGAATGTGGGATACTGTGATTCTGTACCAACAATTCAAAACACAAGGAAATGGCCTTATGTTGCTGCATAATATCATGCTGCTTTGCTAGCAGGGAAAAGAATGGCAAACTTTACATGGCAAAGGGCAGACTGGATGCTGACAACACCAATGGCAGCAGTCAAGATGGTGTACAGGATATCTTCTTATGCTTAATACCATTCAAAAAGTGATACCAACCAAGGGAAAATCCCAGAAAATGACTTCTTTTCTCATCAGTTAACCATTTCTCACCCAAACACGATGCAATTGTCAGGGCTGTTTTTCAACAAGTGTAAATGGTAGTGAGCAAAGGATGGTATCCTGTAGACCACTGGTTCCCAGTTTTGGATCCCCAGATGTTCTTGGACTAGACATCCTGGCCAGCACAGCGAGTGGTGAAGATTCTTGGACACTTACTCCAAAAACCATCTGCTGACTATTGAGCAATTTCCTGGTGTTTTGAATCATGGATCTTAGGCATCCTTCAGTCTCAAAAGATCATGGTAACGCGCTCCGTATGAGTGTCCTCTCGAGAGCACGAAGCCTGGGTAGAATAATATGCACAATATCCCACATTCATAAAATAGAGGCTTCTGAAGAAGCTTTGTTGTTAAAGGACTGTAGTTTCTCTGCCTCTCTACTAAAGCCTCTGTTATTTGCAGAGGGAGGGTACCTCCTTCCCAAAAGACTTTTAAGGAAGACTTGTGACCCTGGAAGATTTAGCTGACCTTCTAATTTGCAGAGGAAACTGTGATACTCAGTGTGGTGTAGCAAATAAACAGACAGACTAGGACTCTGGAGATCAGGGTTTGAATCCCTACTTGGCCATAGAAAATCAACTGCAATTCTGGAACTGGTATAGCCATTCCTTAAATATCTCACTTACCATGAGAACTCCATTAGGATCATTGTAAGTCAGTTCCAACGTGAAAGTACATATCAACAACAACAAACAGTAGAGGCTGCAGTTATCCAGGGCTTGAAACACCTAGCAAAATATTTAAACTTCCAAGCCTCTCTCTAATTTTTTATGACCTTGTCAAGTGAAACCTTGCACATTTGCACATATACAAGAGACCTTAATAAATATATTGCTCGGTTCTGGATTTTGCTTTATTTCTATGGAGCAACTCAACTCAATCTTTTTCTCTTTTTTTGAGTGCATATACAACAAACCTCCAGAAATGCATCACTGTACTACTGATATTGTTACAACTACTTGTATTATTTGTATTCTGTTGCTTCTACTCAATGATTGAAGCTCCAGAAATCACAATTAAAATGATTTTAAAATAGAATATTATATAATATTGCTTACTTTTTAATCCTTAAATTCCTTTTAATTACATTGCAATTAGGATCTTAATCTACTTAAATAAAACAAAGAAGGAATTGAACAGAAGTGCATAATAGAATAAAAATCGATCACACGCTCAGTATTTTTTTGCTATGTGGGATCTTCCCGGGTG